AAAAAAAAAAAACCACTAGGAATAACCTAAGTATTGAGCAACTGGGGACAGAACTGCAGGGTGCCTTCTGGGCCAGAGTTTGAAATGATGACTCTGAAGAACACATTTTAAGTGTTTTCTGTGGTATAAGAAGGAAAAACCAAACCAAACTCACTGCCATCAAGTTGATTCTGACTCATAGCAACGTCATTAGGTTTCCGAGGCGGTAAATCTTTACAAGAGTAGATTGTCCCATCTTCCTTCTGTGGAGTGGCTGGTGGATTTGAACTGACCTTCTGGTTAGCAGTCAAATACCTTAGGCACTGAACTACCAGAGATCCTTAGAAGGGAAAGGGAAAATAACCAAAAAAACCAAACTGACTGCCATCAATTTGGGTCCTACTCATAACAACCCCTCCTTGGGTTTCCCAGGCAGTATCACTACGGAAGTGGATTGCCCAACCTTCCTTCTATGGAGTGGCTGGTGGGTTTGAACCATCAGCCTTCTGGTTAGCAGTCAAATGCCTTAGGTACTATGCCACCACAGGTCCTGAAAGGGAAAATAGAAAGTATAAAATATTTATGCACTGTATGTTTCCAACTATGCTTAAAATAAATGTGGAAACTATAATATACCAGTAACTATCTGCTAGCCTTTTGCTCAAGTGTATTATTTCAATGAGTCCATACAGGTACCCCTATTCAGCAGACATTATTATTATCCCCAATAATAAGGATGATGAAGATGACATAGAACCTAAAGATGCTATGTCCTTCCCCAGACTCACACAGTGTTGAGTGGAAGAGGCTGAGGCCAACGCAGATCTGCCTAATTCAAGATAACAACACCAACAGCTGCCATAAGGAATTGAGGGGAAGGCCTAGAAAGGAATATTAACATCAGTTACAGTATGTCTGAACATGGAGATTAAGGACCCTCTAATATTATGCTATGTCCCTGGGTGGCGCAAACGGTTAAGCGCTCAACTGCTAACTAAAGGTTCGCAGTTCAAACCCACTCAGAAGCACCTCGAAACAAAGGCCTGGTGGTGTGCTTCCAGCAGTTCACAGCCTTGAAAACCCCGTGAAGCACAGTCGTACTCTGCCCCGTGGGGTCGCCCTGAGTCGGAATCACTCAACAGCAACTGGTTTGGTTTTTGATATCTCTTCATTCAGTATTTCTTTCCTATTTTCCAAATTGCTTAATGAGCATATATTCCCTGTATCTTAGAGTTGAGAAAAAAAGCCCAAATAAAGAGGTCTGCCCCCACTTTCCAGGACTGAGTGAATTCCCAAGCCCAAGAGGAGGTGTGGTGTGATAAAGTGATTGGCTCTGATGGCAGATCTGACCTGAGTTCAAATCCTGGGTCTTCTGCTGTTTCCTTATCTGCCAAAGTAAGCATGATAGCAACATGCATCCATGCCTCCTGGGGCTGCTACAGATTCAACAAGATGATACTAAACCCTTATCATGATGCTCAGCAAATTATATGTGCTCATAAAGAGCAATGAGGATAATTATTTCACATAATTATAACAAAAGAACAATAAATAGATCAATGGTACAGAGAACCCAGAAATAGAGTCATGGTCATTGGCTTTTAACCAAGGTGCCAAAATAATACAGTGGTGCTAGGACACCTGGATACCACATGGAAAACAAGTGAACTTTGATCCCTACCTCACACTGCACACAAAAATTAAGTGGAGATGGTTTATAGACGTAATCATAAAAGTTAAAGTATAAACCTTCTAGAAAAAAAAAAATCATAGAGACTATCTCCACAATCTGGGGGTAGCAAAAAAAATTCCTCAGGACTCAGAAAGCAAAAGTCATGAAGAAAATGTTGATAAAACTTCATTAAAAATTAAAATTGACTTCATTAAAATTAAAAACTCCTGCCCATCAAAAGACACCAATAAGGAAATAAAGAGGCAAGCCCCACAGTTGCAGAAAATGTTCTTAAAACTCATATATGACAAGAAACTAGTATCTAGAAGCTAGAAAGAACTTATACAATTTGATAATGTATACATTTTATTGGGAAAAAGGCTTGAACAGAAACATCACAAAGGGAATTAGCCAATAAGGTCTAGAAAAGAATAAAACCACATGGGTTACCACCACACACCCACTGGAAAGGTTTAAAGTAAGAACAAAGGGCTGTGAGTGAAGAGAACAGACGGGTGAGTGGGGTTCAAATCCCAGCTCTAACAATTGCTGTGAGGGTTTCAAGGAGCCCTGATGGCATGGTGGTTAAATGCTCAGATGATAACCAAAAGATTGGGGTTTGAACCCACCAGCTGCTCCGTGGATGAAAGATGTGGCAGTCTGCTTCCATAAAGATGACAACCTTGGAAACCCTATGGACAGTTCTACTCGGTCCTACAGAGTTGCTATGAACCAGAATCGACTCAACAGCATCGGATTTGGTTTTGGTTTGGTGAGGGTGTTGTCATTACCTGATGTCATGGTGACGTCACAGAAACTTCCGCTCTCATAATTACCATTTTGCTGTCATTGTTGTTAAGTTGTCGAGGCAGGGACCCTGACACCAAAGATGCAAATGCAGAACTTACTTATATAATTCCCCTACCCCCCTGCAGGCCATTGTCACCTTGTTGTATGTGTGTGAGTGCACACACACATACACACGTGTGTTTTCTTTTCCCAGGGGCCTCTGTGTTGGTATTTATGTCACCAACTCTCCTGAAGCCTGTCAATATGCCATCACTAATGCCAAGGTGAACATCTTAGTGGTTGAAAATGACCAACAGTTGCGGAAAATCCTTTCGGTAAATCCCTACCCAGCGCTGCCCGCCACGGTCACCCAGGGGAACCTCAGGGCTCCGGTCGGGTGTCTGATTGCCCTCAGGTAGATGCCAAAGGGGAGGTGTTTGCCCGATGCACGGGATCTGCAAAGTCCTCCATGATCACATCGGTAAAACTGGCAAAGCTGCTTTTGCAGTGGAGGAGTTTAATTTCCAATTTATATTAATGTCCTATTCAGTCTCCATTCAAAATGCATTCATATATTGTTTTATATACACTGCTTGTTTATTATTTTTCTCTTAGAAGCTTAATTCTTTCTCACTGGGGGCTCCTTGACACTTCCTTCATGTCTTGTCATTGTCTTCATTCCGGAAATGGTTGTGTCTTCTCCTATTTCCTTCCTCAGTTTCACCCCCTCCTATCTCACCTCTCTGGTACCTGGCTCTCTCTTCCCTGAGTGCATGTTGTGTTTACTCTGTCCTCTTCCTTCCTAGCTGTGCTGGCTTCACTGTTTTTAATTTTGTCTTGCAATGTTGACTTACAATTTTCCTTTGCTTCCTACTGACATTTCTCAGCTGAGCTTTCTTCCTGTACAGTGACATTTTATTTTGTCTACCTCCTGTTCCCCACCCCCCTTTTCATGTCTTTGAATGAGTGTTGTCCAAGCTCTTTGGGTTTCTGCATTGCCTTTTGAGGTAGAGGGCTCTAGCTACTTATGTAGCCACTTTTGTAGAGGATTTTGGTTGCCTGACTCCACCTGGAGGTGTCCCTGGAGAGTGCAGTCAATGCACTTGGCTGCTAGCCTGGAAGTTAAGAGGTCTGAGTCACCCAGAGGTGCCTCTGGAGAGAGGCTTGGTGACCTTCTGAGAAACCAGACATTGAAACCCAATGGAGTTGTACTCTGACACCCATGGGTTCGCCATGAGTCAGAGTCGGCTTGATGACCACGCTTTTTTTTATTTTTATTTATTTTTATTTTTTTGCTGCTAGGAGAGAGGCCATCTCAGACGCCTCAGAATCACACTCAGTTTCAGGCGTTCCCAGGGCTGGGTTGCCATGAGGCCCACACAGAACTTTCTTTCAGATTCCACAGGAAAAGTTGGAGACCTTAAAAGCGATTGTCCAGTACAAGCCGCCGATGAAGGAGAGCGGTAGCAATGTGTACTCTGTAAGTTGGCGAGGGTGGACGAGGTGTGCTGCCAGCACGGCAGACAGGGCTGTGAGGGGAAGTGGGTGTGGCCTTCCAACGGAAGTGGGTGGGGCAAAGGAAGTGGGTAGGGTCTTCCTAAGGGGATGTGTGATTGGAGGGGCAGTGGGTGGGGCTTTCCAGGAGAAGTGTCTGGGACATTTGGAAGGGAATGGGTGACGTCTTGTAAAGAGAGTGGGAAGGACCTTGCAAAGGGTGGGCAGGGCCTTGCAAAAAGAAGTGGATTCTGAGCAGTGGAAGTGGGTGGGACTTTGGGGAACTCTTATTCTGGAATGAAGATTCGAGTCCACACAGGAGCCTTGGAAGAAAGGCTTGCCTCTCCGCTTCTGAAGATCACAGCCTTTGAAAAGTCTCTGTAGCACAGTTCTGCTCTGACATACGTGGGGTCACGGTGGGTTGGAGTCTACTCAGTGACAACTAGTGAAGTGGTAAGTTTTGGACCCGTGGTGAGTGCCCCATTCGCCTCACCCTCGTCCAGGCCCTGCAGCTGGGGGCTCCACCAGTGTCGTCGTTCTCCTTCACTTCGGGGTCTCTCCACATGATCTCTCCGGCACAGTGACTCCGCGACAGCTCAGGTCTTACATGGTGGCTCAGTTCTCCAAAGAGAGAGAGCAAGCCAGGTGGAAGCCGTCTTGCCATTTCTGACCTGGCCTGTGACGTCACACAGCATTGATTCTGCAGTACTCTACCCTTCAAGGCAGCCACAGAGCTCTGCTGGGGTCCGAGGGTGGGCCCATATACTCTATCTCTCTTTTTATTGTCATTGAAAGTATACACAGAAAAACACACCAATTTAACAGTTTCTACATGTGACGTAACTCTACATCAAAGAGTTCTGATGTCTATGTGGTTAAAGCGCTGGGCTGCTAACCAAAAGTCAGCGGTCCAAACCCACCAGCCATTTTGTGGGAGAAAGATGAGGCAGTTGGCTTCTATAAAGATTGACAGCCTTGGAAACCCTCTGGGGCAGTTCCACTCTGTCCTCTAGGGGTGCTGTGAGTTGAAATAGACTTAACTTCAGCAGGTACCCAGTTCAGTGACATTGATTCCATTCTTCAACTTGTCCAGCCATTCTCACCCTCTGTTTCAGAGTTGTTCCTCCCTCATCATCAAAAGCTCACTGCCCTGTAAGCTTCTTATCTGCCATTTCCAGGTGCAGTTGTCAGTTTAATTCATATAGATAATTCTTCCAAACAGCATGATGTTCAAGGCAAACATTCTTAACTAAATAAGCTAACTTACTGTTTGGTTTCAAGACCATTTCAGGGGATATCTTCGATTTAAGGTTTACAAATTATCACAGGGCAGCAGTTTGAAGGGTTCATCCAGCCTCTGTTGTTGTTGTTGTTGTTAGGTGCCATCACGTTGGCTCCAGCTCATAGCGACCCTACAACAGAATGAAACACTGCTGGGTCCTGTGCCAATCTCACAATCCTTGCTATCCCTGAGCCCATCGTTGCAGCCCCTGTGTGAGGCCATCTCATTGAGGGTCTTCCCCTTTTTTGCTGACCCTCCACTTTATCAAGCATGTCCTTCTCCAGGGAATGGGCCCTTCTGACCACATGACCAAAGTAGGGAGGATGAACTCTGGCCATTCTCCCTTCCAAGGAGCATTCTGGCTGGACTTCTTCCAGGACAGATTTGTTAGTTCTGGCAATCTTTCGGCATTCTTTGCCAACACTACAACTCAAAAGCATTGACTCTTCAGTCTTCTTTATTCACTGTCCAGCTCTCACATGCATATGAGGTGATTGAAAAATACCATGGCTTGGGTTAGGCGCACCTTAATTTTCAAAGAGACATCTTTGCTCTTCAGCACTTTAAAGGATTTGCCCAGTGCAATATGATGTCTAATTTCTTGACTGCTGCTTCCATTGGTGTTGATTGTGGATCCAAGTAAAATGAAACTCCTGATAACTTTAGTCTTTTCTCCGTTTATTGTGATGCTGCGTATTGGCCCAGTTATGAGGATTTTTGTTTTCTTTATGTTGAAGTGTAATCCTTACTGAAGACTTCAGTTTTTAATCTTCATCATTAAGTGCTTCAAGTCATCTTCACCTTCAGCAAGCAAAGTTGTGTTGTCTGCATATCATAGGTTGTTAATGAGTCTTCTTCCGATCCTGATGCCACTTTCTTCTTCATATAGTCCAGCATCTCAGATTATTTGCTCAGCATACAGATTGAGTAAATATGGTGAAAGGATACAACCCTGACACACTCCCTTCCTGATTTTAAACCATGCAGTGTCCCCTTGTTCTGTTTGAATCACAGCCTCCTGATCTGTGTACAGGTTCCTCACAAGCACAATTAAGTGTTCTGGAATTCCTGTTCTTCTCAATGTTGTCCATAATTTGTTATGATCCACACAGTCAAATGCCTTTGCATAGTCAATAAAACACAAGTAAACAACTTCCTGGTATTCCTTGCTTTCAGCCAGGATCCATCTGACAACAGCTATGATGTCCCTTGTTCCACGTCCTCCTCTGAATCCAGCTTGCACCTCTGGAAGTTCTCTGTCAATGTACTGCTGCAACCAATATACTTCTAGCAATCTTTAGCAAGATTTTACTTGCATATGATATTAATGATATTGTTTGATAATTTCCACATTATGTTGTATCACCTTTCTTTGGAATGGGTACAAATATGGATCTCTTCCAGTCAGTTGGCCAGGTAGCTGTCTTTCAAAGTTCTTGGGATGGACAAGTAAGTGCCTCCAGTGTGGTATCCATTAGTTGAAACATCTTAGTGGGTATCCTGTCGCTTCCTGGAGCCTTGTTTTTCACCAGTTCCTTCAGTGCAGCTTCAACTTCTTCCTTCAGGACCATTAGTTCTTGATCATATGCCACCTCCTGAAATGGATGAATGTCAACCAATTCTTTTTGGTACAGTGACTGTGTATTCCCTCCATCTTCTATTGATGTTTCCTGCATCATTCAATATTTTGCCCATAGAATCTTCCAGTATTGCAACTTGAGGCTTGAATTTTTTCTTCAGTTCTTTCAGCTTCAGAAATGCCAAACGTGTTTTTCCCTTTTGGTTTTCTAACTCCAGGTCTTTGCACATTTCACTACAATAATTGACTTTGTCTTCTCAGGCTCCTCCTTGAAATCTTCTGTTCAGCTCTTTTATCTTGTCATTTCTTCCATTTGCTTTAGCTACTCTCCATTCAAGAGCAGTTTCAGAGTCTCTTCTGACACCCATTTTGGCCTTTTCTTATTCCCTGTCTTTTTAATGACCTTTTGCTTTCTTCATGGATGATGTTTTTGATGTAATCCCACAATTCCTCTGGTTTTTGATCATTGGTGTTCAGTGCATCATATATATTCTTTAGATGGTCTCTAAATTCAGGAAGGATATAATCAAAGTCATATTTTGGCTCTCGTGGACTTGTTTTAATTGTCTTCCGCTTCAGCTTGAACTTGTCTGAGCAGTTGATGGTCTGTTCCACAGTCAGCTCCTGACCTTATTGTGGCTAAAGATGTTGAGCTTCTCCATCACCTCTTTCTACAGATGTAGTCGATCTGATTCCTGTACTCCATCTGGCAAAGTCCAACCGTTTATGTTGTTGAAAAAGGTATTTGCAATGAGTAAGTTGTTGGTCTTGCAAAATTCTGTCATGCAATCTCTGGCATCATTTCTATCACCAAGACCACATTTTCCAACTACCAGTGATTCTTCCTTGTTTCCAACTTTTGCATTCCAATCACCAGTGATAATCAACACATCTTGATTGCGTGTTCAGTCAATTTCAGACTGCAGAAGTTGATAAAAATCTTCAATTTCCTCATCTTTGGCTTTGGTGGTTGGTGCATAGAGTTGAGTAATAGTCATATTAACTGGTCTTCCTTGTAGGCGTATGGATATTATCCTATCACTGACAGTATTGTATTTCAGGACAGATCTTGAAACACTCTTTGTGACGATGAATGCCACACTATTCCTCTTCAATTTGTCATTCCCAGCATAGTAGATCATATGGTTGTCTGATTCAAAATGGCCCAAACCAGTCCATTTCCACTCACTAATGCCTAGGATATCAATCTTTATGTGTTTCATTTCATTGTTGACAACTTCCAATTTTCCTACATTCGTACTTCATTCAGTCCATGTTCCAATTATTAATGAATGTTTGTAGCAGTTTCTTCCCATTTTGAGTTGTGCCACATCAGCAAATGAAGGTTCTGAAAGCTTTACTCCATCCATATCATTAAGGTCAACTCTACTCTGAAGCAGCTCTTTCCCGGTCATATTTTGAGTGCCTTCCGATCTGAGGGGCTCATCTTCCAGCACTGTATCAGACAGTGTTTCAGGGCTGTTCATAAAGTTTTCCAGTAATGTATCAGACAGTGTTTCACTGCTATTCATAAGGTTGTCACTGGCCAATTCTCTGAGAAGTGGATGGCCCCGTCCTTCTTCCTAGTCTGTCTTAGTCTGGAAGCTCCACTGAAACCTATCCACCATGGGTGACCCTGCTGGTATTTGAAGTACTGGTGGCGTAGCCTCCAGCCTCACAGCAACACTCAAGCCACCACAGTGGCTTTTCGGCTTCATAAAGTCTGGATTCCATGAGAATTTTTGAGTTCCGTTCCAAATTTCCTGCCTTTTGATCAGATTCCTTTATAGAATGTTTCATCAAAATGTTCCGTAATGGTAACCAGACACCATCCAGTTCTAGTCTCATGGCAAAGGAAGTATTTGTTCATGGAAGCAATTAGCCACACATTTCATTTCCTCCTCGTATTCCTGACTCTTCTGTTGGCTGCTCCAGGTGAATAGAGACTAACTGTACCTTGGATTAGAATCCAGCTCTTAAAGGACGACAGTCAAAGTTCTGGAACAGTGTGTGAGGTGATAAATTTTATCACAGTCATTCCTGGAAAAATACATTCTCCCAAGGACCTTCTAGAGTCAAGAGGGGAGGGCTGGTTTTGTCTGTTTGCTTGTTGGTCTCATGTTTCTTGAAAGATACGTGTCATATCTCACAGAAGCCAGGGCAGAACAATTACAAGGGACCAAGACAAGCTCCTATTAATTTCCCCAAATTAGACACTCACCGCAGTGTTCAAAGCAGAAGGCTGAGATTGCCGGGGAGTTTGTTTTCACCCCCATCAAGTAGTAGAAAGGAGAGTGGCAATGGCCCTTTCTGGCTGCCCAAGACATTTACTAGCTTTTTACAGCATAAATGGCTATGGAAATGCCAATTTACATACTCCCTCCTGAAATCTTCTTAAAACCAAACAAAGTGTAGCTAGCTTAACAGGGCGGTTCAAACCCACCAGCCACTCCTCGGAAGGAAGGTTGGGCAATCCACTTCTGCAGTGATACTGCCTCGGAAACCCAAGGAGGGGTTGCTATGAGTCGGGTCTGACTCAACGGCACATAACAACAACAACAACAGTGTTGCTCTAACAGAAAATACCACAAATGAGATGGTTTTAACAAACAGGGATTTGTTCTCTTACTGTTTAGGAGGTTGAAGTCTGGGTTCAAGGTGCCAGCCCTAGGGGCTGGGGGAAAGCCCCTCAACCTTGGGCTTCAGCGCTACCTCTTGCTCCTGGCCCACTGGAGCTGGAGGCGTCTCTTCACTCAGGCAACTGGTGACTGCTGAGGATGACAAACGCAAGGTCAACAAGGAAAAAGCACATTCCCAACATTATCACACAACACGGCATGCCACAAGTTCAAGTCCAGAAACAGTCCCAGGATCGGCAGACAACATGGCAGACTGCTGAACAACGACTCAGCTACATGCAGGCTTCAAGTCTGCCAAAAGCTCAGAGACCTTTCTCAATGCTCCTTATACCCTGGAAGCAGACCCCATCCCTAAGACAGCTACTCAACTGCTCTCAGTAGATTCCACCATGGAGCTCATTACCAGCTCATCATGGGGAAGAACGACATCCAGCTGCCCAGCCAGGCCCAGCTGAGCTGACACACAGCTTAATCACCACAATTAGTAAGGGATGTCTGCCTTGAGCACTGTGCGCTTTTAAGGTCTATCTGAGGGCTCAGATTGACAACGGCAACTGGAACGGTCAGATAGGAAGCTTAGGGGGCAGGGAGTTTATGTTGATGGGGCAAGAACAGCTCAGAGAAGGAGGGTGACAATGACCACACAACTTGGAAACTGTAACCAGTGTCATTGATGTATAGGGGGAAACTGCTGAATGGGTGTATATTTTTGCTGTATGTACAGGGTTACTGTGAGTTGTAATTGACTCAGTGGCAGTGGGTTTGCGCTAGTGGGGTTTTGTTGTGTGTATTCTCAACAACGACAACAAAATAAAATGAGTAATTAAAATGTATATATGATTCCCAGGATAACGACATCTAAGTAAGAGTACAGTTCAGAATCACAGACTTTTCAAAGGTTAAAAGTGACCACCATAGGACATAACCCCTGAGGCTGAATGACTTCTCAGATTCCTTTGGTAGAGAGGTCATGCATGGCAAGGTTTCTGGGCCTGGGTGCTGTCAGCAGTGGGGCTGGATAATCCGTGGTTGTGGGGGGCATCCTGTGCATTGTTGGCTGTTGAGCGGCATCCCTGGCCTCCACCCACTCTGTGCCAGTAGGTCACACTGCACCATTGCCACTGAAGTAGATTCTGACTCACAGGGTCTCCATGCTGAGAACGGCACTTTACGGAAAGCGACGGACAAGCTCAGGTGAAGCGAAAAATCAACCCGTTGCCATCGAGTTGACCCCACTCATGGTGCCCCCATGTGTGGCAGGGTGGAACTACTCCACAAGGTTTTTGTTTTTTAAAAAAAA